GGCACGTAGGCGACCCCACCCTAACACACAAATAACCATCCCCCACCCCCACCCCCAGCGCCAAAAAACCCAACCCACCCAAATTGGACCATCCCCGAATTTCTGGATCCGCCAGTGTCAGGTTTGACTTAGGACAAAGTTCAGATCATGACCATTGGGAGTTTACCTAAGTTATAAGTTAAGTTATAACCTTTAACATGTTGATACATAATACACTCGGCAGGTGTTACGAAAATGTCTACTGAACTTTTCCCATGAAAATATGCGCATTTGGAAACATGGTGAAAACATGCGCATTTGTATTCGAAGTACTGAGAATTTTGCAGGGTTCTTAGTTAGGGGCATCGCAACAGTGACATCAGCACTACATTATATTATGTGATGTGCCCCCCCCCCCTCTACAATCATTATTTGTTCTAATAGTCAGTATAGTTGACTGATATAGATCAAAATATATACTTACAAGTCTTATTGTTATTGTAAAAAATGAATATATAGAAAAGGCGAAATGTTTTAGCGAATGCAAAAAATATCCATATCTATCGGAAGACAAAAATGATCATTTTCTGTAGACTGTTATGTTGAACTGTGGAAAATATAAAGGTCGCGCATGTATGTAAATGTGTCGAAATGGGCGTAGTGCGAGTGGTTAGTGCTAGTAGCACTAATCCGAAAAAGTACTAGATCTAGTGCTAAAATGGCACTAGATCTAGTGCTAAAATGGCACTAGATCTAGTGCTAAAATGTGCACAGTGCGAGTGGCATTGTTATCGCATTGTCAACGACGTCGAATAATAGGAGGGGCATCAACAACCACTTTCATATTCAAACTACAAACAGTATAAAACATCGGCAATATACGCGAGATATCCATAATAATACTTTCTTTATATGCCGTCGTAAATTAGCCATCCGAAAATCTCCCTGGGGATTTCGAATAATAGGAGGGGCATCAACAACCACTTTCGGTCGCGACAATAATTTTCCCGATGGCAAACACTTGAAACAATGAGAATTTTTTACTTATTTTAGATGTTATTTCTTGAAACGACTACACTGCAAAGAACACCTCTCCGTACCAGCTGTAAATCTATACATATACTGTGCAGTTCTATTATTACAGTACTCAATCACTGTGACGTGCATTACATACAGGCGACTGTGTCGATTTCTCATTGGACATTGTCATGACTACGCTTCGCAGAGCGTGTAATTCTGATTTGCATGTATTGTACATATCGTCCAATTTCTCGTCTAATGCTACGATCTGCCGCATTATGACATTTGATGGTCTTGAATCAAACTCTGGGCTGGTCAACGGCGCGGGTTTCACCAGAACTACCGGTACGTTCGAAGATGTGTTTTTCATTGTTGAAGTAATAACGTCGGTTAAATGACCTATTTTGGATACGACCTTTCGTGAGGACACGTCACCATGTACCTATTCAAAACAAATTTGTAACAAATAACTGCGTTACTGCGTAGATTCCCTTTTATTCTTGGCGCAACAAAGACATTCCTTCATTTTTATAAATATTTATAAATTTCAATGGCAGTTGAATCAAACTAGCCTACCAAAGAGCAAAGTGCGCAACAACGTCATTTGAAAATGTCCCAATGATGTTCAATCGGCCAATAGAATTCTCTCGTTTCACTTTGAACTGTGAAATTTATAAATATAAAGGAAGTACTTTTGTTGCGCCGAGAGTACGTACGAGAATATGTAAAATATGTAAATATTACCGGTAACTGGATTTTAACTTTACCTTATTCCAGTGATGTCAAATCAAAATCATATCACTACACTCAATACATCAAGATACTAAAGTTCAAATTCATCTGAATGTTACTACTTTATACCGAAGGTGAAAACATACCCTATTATGGAGGCTTGCAGACTTGTCTTCGTTAATTTTTGATAAATTTTCTTCTATTGTTTCTATCTTTCTGGCGACGTCTGTCAACAATATTGCAGTGTTATCAGTAACAAATTCCCGAACCCAGTGGTCCTCTGAAATAGGTACAAACAAACAGAATACAATTAAAAAAACATATATGGTCCCATTGTAATAACAGGTTACTGATTGTTGTGGGCATCGAATATAACCTCGGACAACCAATACACTCGTTTTACCTTGAGAGTCTGTTTTACATTGAAGGACATTTAGACAGATATTGGCATCAGTTTTCAAACATTGTAGTCACACTCTTGGACATTCTCTTTACAGTCATTACAGTAGAACTTCGACCGAAAATATTGTCTCGTATAGTTTACTAAGTTACTAGGGAATTTATGAACATTGGTGTGAAAAGGTTATATTCGCTGAATTTTATTTTCACTGAATCATCCCTTCAGCGAAAGTAGCGAAAATTAATTCCAAGCGAAAATAAAGTATTTTACAGTAATGTGTGTTGGTAGTACTGTCTATTTCGCCGACACCAAGTTACTGATCTGACTACAAAACCGATAACAATCACGCCTAACTTGTATCTGAACATCTCTCAGCAGAAAACAAACTCACGAAGTAAAACGGATTAGTTGTCTGCGAGCTAACGCACAGGAAAATAAATTTGTCAAGTTGCCAGCTGGAAATAAACTGCCAAGCGTGTCACATGACATTTTTTGTCTGAGTTAGTTATCAAAATCGCCATTTTGATCATCCTAGTTTGTCAGCTCGTCGTGTTATAATCACTATTACAGTATATTCATCCATATAATTATTTATGACACCACGACTAGGCATGTAAATCTAATTCGAAGTATCGACAAATTGAACGAGCCTACAATATGCTGGCGCAATTGCACAGAATGTCATGCACACCAGAACCACGCACAGTACATTACTTATGTTACCGGACAACTCAGGTTAAATAAAGACTCGCCTCTTGCCTTGCGTACAGCTCTCCAGTTATATAACGCATTATAGAGTTGACATTCTAATCTTTTAGCGGTGTCATTGTGGGCAAGCTGTGCAACTAAGGACGGGTGCATGCTACGGGTCACTCGTCTCAGTCGTTTGTGATATTTGTCAGAATGGGTGACGTCATTTCTGGGAGGTTTGTAACTCGTATTGTGATGATGTAGTCGCCACTT